CATGTACTCACTCATAGGTGGGTTTTAAACATAAAGCAAAGAAAATCAGTCTACAAACTACAATCCCAGAGAATTTAGACAACAATAAGGGAATGCCCCTAAGCATACTAGCCTTGATTTTTGGCTTCTATAGTTCTTCTTGCTAATTGAATACCAGGATATGGTTTTTGTGTATAAAAGACAAAAGGCTATCAGACTCTGAGCTGTATGATGTGAGCAAGAGGCACATTTCTATCCCACCTTGTCCAACAGTCACTTCTAAATAATTACCCAAGGCTTAGTATTAATTACAAAGTGTTTGGCCTATTGCTTAGGCTTATTTCTAACTGGTTCTTACATTTAAATGAACCTGTATGCCATGTGGCCTTGGTATTACCAGTCTGCTGGCATCTTGTTTCCTGGACAACTGGCTTGCATTTCTCTTGACTCCTCCTTCTTTCTCCCTGTATTCAATTTGGCTTTCCCAGCTAGCTGTATACTTTCTTGATATAGGTCAAAGCAACTTTCATTATTATTCAATGACAGTAACAAATATTCACAGTGTACAGAAGGGTTATCCCACAGGATTCCCCCCCCCCTTTCTGTCTAATCAAAAAGGAAGGTTTCAACTTTAACATTGTAAAATTACAGACAATAAAACAGTAATGAAGTAAAAATTACAGTTATAATATCTAGTCTATTTGAATTTGACAAAATTACAGAAAATATTTAATTATCCTATCTTGGTGAGTATCCTATCTTGGTGTGTTCAAAGTTTTATATCTAATTTACCTTTTTATCATAACTAAGAAAGACTATAACTATTTAGTCTTCCACTCCCTCAAAGACCTGAGAAGGATATTGCCTGAGTAAGCAGTAAGTACAAGCAAGCTACTTCTCAAACATGTGAGAAATGATAGAAACAGCCAGACTACTGGACACTCACCCAAGGTTTTTCTGTAATATTAGAGCATCCATCTTTGGCCTACAGGACTTGCATATCTGATAAACTTTCCTGTGAAGAAGGGAATTTTGAAGAACTTTCCTACCTTGTCTTGGCAAAGCTCAGCCGTTGTTTTCTTGCATCCTGCTGCTTCAGCTTGTACAGAAACTGTCAGCAATTGCAGCAAGGGCACATGGCTAGCTTTTGTCAAAAAGAAAATAAACTCAATACAGTTTCTTTAATGCCCTTTATCTTCTCTGGAGTAGTTTGGTGTTGTCCAGAACAGATGATTTTCACTGCCATAAAAAGTCAGTTGTTAAAACATTTTAAATGTTATATTCTGTAGGTACTCATGATGTTTGAAGATACCTATCTATCTGAAATATATTTTTGTATATCTAGAAAAGCTAACTAACATGACTCTATGTTTGACTATTAATCTGTATGTATGACTGTTAATCTGTATTTCTTAATTATACATTACACTTTTAATTGAGCCATATAAACATGTCTTAAACAAGAGTAGAAATATACATGCAGTATAACAAAATTAACCTTAACTTTGTATAAATAAGTTTAAATTCATATCAATGTAAATTATTTTGAGATTATCAGTTGTTTGGGATTAAAGTAGATTCAATAATCTACTCTTTTTCCAATTATGATAATCTACCCTTTTCTCATCATTTCTATATCATATCACCCTTTCTTCTTTAGAAAAAGATTGACTATGAACAATAACAATTTTTAACCAATGTCCCCTTTAATGATAAAAAGTATTTATAAATATATAAACATTTTGGGAATTTGGGCATTATTCTCTAGACTACTTCCTGCTGAGTGGTGTGCACTGGTAATCTTTGAAGGACCCTGAGAAAATCTAGAATTATGGTCAAGTCCTGACTTAGAGACTGAGTTTTATAAGTCAGCAGCCTTAAAGCTGTTCTAGATGTAGAATTCAGAGGAAGTCATAGAAGATGAACTTTGAAACATTGGATCATCTGGCACATTAGAGATCTCTCAGGGGTCTTTCTTTATCAAACCATATTATTAACTGGAAGGAATCCACAGATTCTCATCTTCTGTGGAAACAAAAGCAGAACCTCTTTTCCAAGGCAGCATATCATTAGATTCAAAGTTTGAAGTCAAGATTTTTTAAAAAATATATACGTTGGTTTAACTTTGCAGCTCCCACAATCAAATGTCTCTCAGCAGTTAAATCAATAACAATCAAAATATTCAAAGAAAATACAATAACATATATAATTCAGACTCTCTGTATTTTCTATCTGTATATGTTTTTTCTTTTCTATTACTTTTTTCACTTTTAAAGATTTTATTTTTTAAAAACTATTTCTTTCTTTCTGTGACTGTCTATACATCCTTTCTTCTTTCTTTCCTCCCTTCCTTTCTTTCTCTCTTAAGTCTCTGTACATTTTAAAATACACTGGAACCTGTTTAGAGTTCTTTATTTTTTTGTCTGAATCTATCCTTATTATGTATCTGTACTGTTTTTTGATTGCATTAGACAGATCTTAAAACTGCTATATTAACTGTCTGTTCTGCTCAGCTTAGTGAATGGTGCTAGCACATGGTAGTTGGCTCCTCCCCTCAGTTCTGAGTATCTAGTCTCGTGGTGGAGGCACCAGTGAGAGTCAGGCTCACGGCCCCAACTCTGGGAAGTGGTGTGTCCATGCTCTCACCCAGTTGTATGCAATCCACACTCCACAAACCCCAATCAAGTGTTCTGTAGTAGGACTTTCTAAAAGAGCTATCTGTGCGGCCAGCATGAAACAGAAAGTCACTTTTTACAGGAGTTGTGCCTCTGTTAGCTGCCAGCAGACAGAGGCAACCAGAGAAAAGACTGTTACCAAGAAGCTGTGCTTGAGTCTTTTTGTGTGTGTGTGTGTGTGTGTGTGTGTGTGTGTGTGTGTGTGTGTGTGTGTTTAGAATCCTTTTTCCAAACTTTGTGTGCCATTTGTAAACTGAGGTTTCTCTGTCCTGCCCTATCCTTCAGCCACTTCTAAATAATCACTCAGAGGCTTAATATTAATTACAAACTATTTGGCTTATTGCTCAGGCTTATTATTATCTATCACTTTCATTCATATTAACCCATTTCTATTAATCTATGTATTGCCATGTGGTTGTGGTTTTAACCAGTCTGCTGCCATATTGTTTCTTAAGTAGCTGGCTTGTATCACTCTCGACTCTACCCTTCTTTCTCCCTGTATTCAATTTGGTTTTTCTGCCTAGCTATATTCTGCCTTGCTATAGGCCAAAGCAGCTATCATTATCAGCCAATGAGAGCAGCAAATATTCACAACATGCAAAGGGTTATCCCATAGCATATCAGTCAGCAATAAAGACACTCTTTTCAGCTTTAACGGTGTCCTGTGGTGTTGTTGGATGGGCTTACCCAGCAACACAGAGTCTCACTCATGTCATCGAGTCCCAAATTGAGTAAAAAGAAGAAAACAAGTCTAGTACCAACATTTCACGTTGTCTCTGCAATGCCAGCAGCTGTCCCTCACTCCTGATGCTACAACTTGCCTGCTAGGGTGACTGTGATCTCTAACTGTGAGGGAAAAGAAATCCCCTGCTTTAAGCTGTTTTGTCATAACAATGAGGAAAGAAACATAGAATACACATGGCTTCTTGGGTTTTGATTTCTTTCTGTAGCTAGTATTATGCGTATTTTGTGATGTAGTTAAAAGCTGTAAAAATTAATAATTATTGCCATGTTTATCAGATGAGTTTTCAAATCTGAATATAGAAATCACAATTCATTATACACTCCAAAATTTTGGCATGAATATAAAGTTGAGGATTGGATGGAAGATGATCATTATTAGTGTCGTGTTGATTAGGTATTGCTTAGTAATATATAATAGAAACTCAAAATTCCTTAGTAAAGATCAAAAAACTTATTCAAGAAAGAATTGAACGATTAAAAAGAAGAAAAACTTATAATTTGTATCAATGTCACTTTGACCACACACCACCTGTAATATGAAAAATCCCACTAATCAACATATCCTTCACCAGGAACCTGGAGACCTAACTTTAACCCACAAACTTCCTTGGCCGCGCCCAGAGTGTTCCTCCCAGCATCCTCTGACATAGCTTAAAACTGAGGCTTCTCTGTGTGCATTCACTTTCTGTGGTTCTCAGTCTCGTGGGTTTGTCACACGCACAGGCAGATTTCTTCCCTTCTGATCTGAAGGTCGCATGTCCTCCCTCCAGGTCAGCTCACTTTTCAGAGTGTGAAAGGATGAAGAAAGCAGCGTGCATCCGTTATCCAATACGGATAGAGAGTTGGTTTTGTTCATTATAACCTGGCCTTTACTGAGACTAATATATAACCGAAGTGAGCCAAGCACTCCCATTAATACTTTACATAGAACTCTACTTTAGATAGGATTTGCTTTCTTGCTGTACTCAAAGGTTTGAATTCCTACCTAATAAATTAATATTTCTGTATTGATGGAATCATTAATATGCTGACATTTTTAGTAGTTAACTTTCTACTGATTAAGAATTTCATATTTGTGATAAGTTTCTAATAAGGATATCAATTATATATAGTAATCTGATCCTCTGATGGTACGTATTTCTCATCTTATTTAACAGGACAAAATTTTGGTTTTCTGGAATTTCTGTGCTTTCCAAACTATCCACGCTAAATGATATAATATGTCATTTGTCTTGAAAGTGAAGATTACACTCCCATCTTTTATTTCTAATTATTGTAAATTACTCCATTTTATATGTATTTTAAATTTGTAAGTCAAAATTCTCTCTGGAAATAATTGGGTTATAATCTGCATGTATCTTGTAAACATGCCTTCTAATTTGATTTAAAAATTTTATGTATGATTCACATTTTTGAAAACACAGCCTTTGTCTTTTCATAACTCAGTGATTTACAAGTAATGTTGGGCCTCCAGTGAGAGCGTAGCGCCTCTTTGCCCCCAGTCCTCATTGACTTATTCATTATTGACTATGAACACTGAGTACTCTTTTAGGAAATAAATAGCAGCTGTCTTGACGGTTGTTGTTGGTGGTGTTTTTTCAGAAGGGCCAGAGAAGATCTGCTGAAAACTCAGAAGGAACGGGACTTTCATCGCATGCACCATAAGCGCATAGTGCAAGAGAAGAACAAGCTGATCGCAGACCTGAAAGGGTGAGAAGCTCGTGCTTGTTGGAGAGTTATCTGAGCTATTGGAATCTGACTGTAGGAGGACTTAGTGAATAAAGTTGTTCTTTCAAGTTTATTGGATAGGAAGTTTAGGCCCTTGATTGAAAGAACATTCATACTAATGGGGTATATGATTGAGAAGTTAAAAATATAAGAAAATGTGCTCCACTGTTGGTTTGTCAGTCAAGACAGAGTCTCAATAAGACTGGTGTGAGAGAAGGGCTCCAGGGTGTGTTTTCCTTGAGCTAAATTCTCAAGAGTGGATAAGCTGGTGGAGTGGAGCCCTCAGGCTATGCTTGTGCGACAGTGGGCTGCTTGTGCAGCAGAACCAAGTCATGACGGCAATGGGATGTCCACCAGGTGAACCATCGAAGGCAAAGAACAGACAGAGCTTTGATGAGATTAGAGACATATCCTAGACATATCATATTAGTTTGAATATATAAGAGCAACTTTAGAAGTAATTTTGGAAGCATTCTTCAAATTTACTTTCCCTTCTTCAATAGCTTCCTTGTGTTCTTTTTCTGTAAAACAAAAATTCAGCTTTATAACTGTTAAATAAAATTGTCTTTTGTTTACGTTAGTACCACCCAATATAACTTTCTGTGTTGACATGGACATTATAAATTTTATATTCAATAGAAACACTAGGTATTTTTATTTAAATGTATATTATACCCACTAAATATGCAATTAAAAGGGGCATACTCAGCTAGTTATTTTTAGTAATGCCATTATGTAACACCTGGCAAGAAGCAATTTAAGGACGGTAGGGCTTATTCGGGTTTACAGATAAAGGGATACGTGCCGCCATGGAGCAGCAGATATGGAAGCAGGGGTGGGATGCTGGCTGGTCATATTCATCTGTCATCAGGAAGTAGAGTGTGAACAGGAAGTGGGTTCAGACTATACACCCTCCAGGCCTGTACTAGTGACTGACATTTCCTAGTAAGACTCAATCTCTTGAAGATTCCCTAACTTTCCCTAACAATATCAGTATCTGATGGCCAAGCATGGGAGTTCACGAAGCTGTGAGGAACATTTTTACAATTAAACTCTTAAGATTTTTGTGCCTCATGGGCTACCATCTCATTGTACCAAATACCGTTTTATTTATTTATTTTTTTGAACTTGCAAAGACGCCACAGTAATTAGTACTCCTAGCACTGTTCAAAAGTCCCAACTCATTCTGAACTCAAGGCAATTGCTTTTCTGTGAGGTTTTATAAAATCAAAAGACAAGTTACATATTTACAATACATAATGGTACAGGGTAAATGTTCCCATCCCGAAAGGGATCTATAACAAGGCATTGTCAAACAAAAGCAAACTGAAACCCAGTAGGGCAAAGGACTAGTCTTGCAGGTACACATCTTACATCTGGGGTTTGTGGGGCAGAGGACCAGTCCTGCAGGTATATACCTTATACCTGGGGTTTGGGATAGGCTGTTTTTGTGCTACAAAGGTCTTGAGTAGCTCTCTCCAAAGTCAGCCACCTGCAGCTGTATCCTCTCCCTGGTGCTGGCCTTCATGCTGTGTCTGTAGCTTTCCTTAGCATCTATCCCATAGCTTTGATATCTTTAACATCCTAAGGTTTCCATTGTAATATAGGCTTACTATATTTTGTGCAAAGAATGGATATACTATATCATATACTGGTAGCTGTATTTTATTCCGTTTGTGCACAGTAATATATTAATGTAATATATATGTATAATAGATAATATATTACTGTGCACAAACGGAATGAAATACAGCTACCAGTATATGATACAGAATACCTGAAAAACTTGTGCTGGGTGATAGAAAAGAGCACCCAGTGAGAAAATATTTTATGATACCAAGTATACGACTCTGTGTTTTCTAGGATGTAAGGATACTATGTTTTGATAAAAATATGATCTTCATGGATCTATATGTTAATTTAAACTGTTAACTCTGACACTTGGGATCTATATCTTTTACTTCATATATTTAATGTTTACTTCAGTAAAAATTAAAGCATAGTTTGAAGGCATTTTTAATCAAAAATTTAAGGTATTTATATGTATTAAGTAGTATGATCATCTGTGAAACATTAAAGTATTTTTAGACCTAGAGAAATGGCTCAGTAGTTATGAACACGTGCTGCTCTTCCAGAGGACTTGAGTGTTGCTCCCAGCACCTACATCAAGCAGCTGACAAGCCTCTGTGACTCCTTTTCCATGGGATCTGACGCCCTCTTCTGGTCTCTTTCAGCACCTGCACACATGCAGCATACAGTCACGTAGACACAGAAATTTAAAAATATATCTTTATACACTTAATTTTCTTAATATCAGATCAATCAAACATGTTTTTTAGGACTCTTTCACTTTGATATAAACAAAACTTCCAGTTTCTGGTTTAATCACCTATTTTCTGCGGCCCTTGTTTTCTTGAGAATTGCTATAAGAATACTTATTTAGTTGTTTTTTAAATTTTGTATTTTAGTTTTGTAGAACTGATGACATGTTCTCATGATCTCAGACTGGTCTTGAATTCACTATGTGGCTGAGATTGGCCTTAAGCTCCTGATCCTCCTGCCCCTGCCTCCCAAGTGTTGGGATTACAGGCTTGTAGTACTATTCTGCCTGGCGATATATGCTTTCTAAATTGGAAAGAACTACAACAGTCTTCTGAGTATATACTTGTATGTAGCAAAAAGTGCTGCTGGGTCTAGGAAACTGAGTAAGGAAAGGATGCTTTCTCATCCTGTGCTTATCCCTCACCTGAGATAGATGGAAATTAAGCAGGAAATAACTCTTCTGTGCTTCTTGGCTCTGGCATGGGACCTTTATATGGCCACTCATTTTTATTCATAAGCACACAAAAATTGAATGAAAGATGAGAAAAAGGTTTAGGTGTTAGATGGAAATCACTGATCTATCTATTTTACCTTTTCTGATGATGCAACTGCCCTTTTCCTTTTGTAGGCTGAAATTACATTATGCATCTTATGAACCAACTATTAGGGTGTTACATGAGAAGCACCATGCTTTACTGAAGGAGAAAATGCTGACCTCCTTGGAAAAAGATCGAGCTGTTGGGAAGGTAAGGAAAGAGGCAGTGAAGACTACCCTGAAGCCACTTTTAATCATTCTTTATTGTGCATGTGACTGTATATGTGTACATATGTATTTTTGTGTGAGGAGTGTGTGTTCACACATGTGCATACTATGTGGAGGCCAGAGGACATTGTTTTATTCTCAGATGTGCTGAGCTAGGTCTCTCAGTGGACTGGAGCCCATCAAATGTGCTAGGCTGGTTGACCCGAGGCACTTTCCTGTTTTTCTACCCCCAGTGCTAGGATTACAACTATGTGCCACCATAATGTACGTTTTTATTGGGGGGGGGGTCAATTCAAGTTTTTGGGGCAAACAGTTTGTCAACTGAGCTGTTTCTCCAACCCTCAGTCATTTATTTTTTTTATGAGTACAATAATGGTTTTGTTTTCTGAGGTAAGTTTTAAAACATTGCCCAGAAATTTATAAAAATTCATTTGAAAACATGAAGAAAAAGTATCTTGTCTATTAAAAACCTATAATGATTATTATTTAATTAATTAGTGTGTAACTTAAACATGAATTGATAGATTATTAAAGTACAGTTAGAGGAAAATACTCAGCCATTGTCATTAAACTATGACCACGACTTGGGTTTAAATGCCAGCTGTTCACATCAGCATCAGGCAGGGTATTTAGGAGATGCGTAGAGTCTGAGAGTGACAGCTTGCTGGCTTGTGTATGCTCCAAGGACTTAAAATGTTGCACACGGACTTGGGCCGGTGGCTCTGAGTTTGCTGGATCTCACCAACTGGGTTTAATGGCAGTGCGCAGAGGGGAAGCCAGTCTCATCAGGACCTGTTGCAGAGCAGTGTGAACTTGAGAGAGTGCTAGATACTCTCAGGGAAGGTGGGGTTTCCATTGGAGGGAAAACACTATTGAGTTTTCTTTGTGCATAATTTTTATCGGGCATTGGCAGAAACTGGACAGAGGCTGAGGTGCTCTATTGAGTTTGATTAATTCTCTGGCCACACACTCTATATATGTCCTCCCTGGGATAACCAGAAGCTGTATGCTCATGTGCTGTTGTAGAGCTGTTCATCCAGTTAGCTGCTCATCTGAAGATCACCTCTATTCATCTCGGATTCTGCTTTGTTAGTAATTGACCTTGACTATCTGATAGCTGTTGGTTACTTGGCCAGCTTTTCCTCTCAGTCCTTGCTTGTGTCTCACTAACTGTTAATTATGCTGACTTCTCTGGCTTTGTTAGCTGCTGATGTTGACTGTCTGCTAGTCATTAGGCATTGGTGGGTGTTGCTGTCTCTGACCTTGAAGGTGTCCTAAGTGTTAATTATATGGAGCTCTTGGCTCTCACAAGAAGAGAGAGCTACTTCCAGCCAAGAAGTAGCTGCTGTGCTCTTGGCTATCTTTTTGTCTATGAGATAGTCTAGGTCTCATTCTCCACGGTGTTGGGCTCATTAGAAGCCATCTTCACTTACAACTTAGTCTGTTTAGAATAATCCTGTTAAAAGAAGCAAGAAGCAAGAATCAAAAAAAAAAAAAAAAAAAGAAGCAAGAATCCATAAGAAACAATAGCGCCTACCACGAGTTTTGCACATTAGAAAGGTCTCATGGAAGCTAGCCACCTGGCCCATTGTCACTGAACCTGCTTGTCCCTCATTAGTTCCCCTTGGCTATCTCATATCCAGCTGTGAGGTCTCTTATTTATCTTACTTCCTTCTGCACACTTTGTGTTTCTTAACCCTTTAACCCTTTGCCTCCACTGTGAGCCCTTTCAGCCTGAGTCATTTCACCGGCTCTCTTAGAGGAGCAATTCTCAACCTGTGGGTCGAGACCCCTTTGGAGGGGGTGTGGAATGACTTTTTCACCCGGTTGCAAATCCGATATCTTGCATATTGTTTAGTTGCATTAATATTCCTAACAGTAGTGAAATTACAGTCTTGAAGTAACAATGAAGTAATCTTATGGTGGGGGTCACCGCAGCACAAGGAGGAACTGTATTGAAGGGCTGCAGGGCTAGAAGGTAGGGAATCTGCTCTAGAGACTTATCTCCCACCTCATAAACCCTCAGTCAGTGTTAGTAAGTGGTAGTCACAAAAATAATATTGCCATGAAAATGAGATAAATGAGATAAAATCCTTGGACATTGCTCCCAAATATATATTTGGTGTTCTTAACTATGGTTTAATTCACTTCCTTTATGCTGAGTGACATTCTTACCTTCTACCTGAAATGTTTTTTGTTTTTGTTTTTTTTTTTTTTTGTATAGACCTAGGGCTTTGGGGAGGGACTGTTGGCATAGAATTTAAGAAAAATAAAGCAAAATGTTGACATGCCACATTAAAATATATAAGAGTTTGTTAAAGAATGCGTGACTGTGACTATGCTTAATATTCTTTTGTTGTTTTCTGCACATTTTAACTTCTGCCCAAACTCAGAAGCTACAAAAGCTTTCTTGATGATAATACAGTTCCTATAATATTAAGATGTTTTTAAATAATGTTATTTTTGTTTCTTCATTAAAATTCTTAACCGTTAAAATACGAAGCATCACTGTTTCTATGCCTTTTGTATTTGGGTTTTAATTTTGTGTCCTTAAATATTTAAATAATATTGTAAGCAATACTGAATAAAATGAATGTTTTAATTATCTAAATTCTTACTACATTTATTTCAAGCTCTAAAAGTCTGATTTCCTTGGTTCTTTTTACACTAACACTGGTGAGTATTAGTGATGTTTCTCATTATTTTGACAAAACTTTGAGAATACTTGAGAGGGAAAAGAAGGAGGGAAGAGTTCCCAGTTGAGGATGCAGTCCATTATGGCAGGGACACTGTGGTACAGGAGTGTGAGATAGCTGTTACCATGGCATCCACCATCAGGAAGCTGAGAAATAAGGCTTGCTCCTTCTCAGCTTGCTTCCTCATTTTTATTCAGTCAAGGACCCAGCCCCTGGAGTGGTGTTGCCTCTAGGCATTCAGGATGGGTCTCTCCTCCTCAGTTCTTTCTGTAAATGGCATCACAGACCCATTCAGAAGTGTGCATCTATAAATTCTAAATCCAGTGAAGTTGACAATGAAGACTAATGCTTGCAACTTGCTTACACTGTCCTTGGGTCCTTGACTTCTACTTCCACAAACTGAGCAGAACTGGCTCTGCCATCCCATCTGCTGTGTGTCTCGGGCTAAGTTATATACTTGGAAACATTCTCCTACCCTTTGTTTCGAACATGATGGTGGTTCCTTAAGTTAGTCAAAGGCCATGTTGAGGACATTTATGACGTGCATACAGTCTTTGGGTTTCAGACTTAATTACTGCCTTATTAGAAAAAGATAAGAATTGGGAGTAATCATGTGAATCTTAGTAGTTTGTAAATTAGTCCTGAAATATTCAGGTCTTTTATATTTTCTTATACATTAAACATGGATTAGTTACTTGCCTTTAGGACTGATACTTTGTGAAGTGAATCAGGTTTTAACACACACACACACATATATATATATATATATATATATATATATAATCTGATGTATGACATATATAACATGGCAAGATGCACAGAAAACTGTCGTGACTATAAAACTGGTTTATTTGTCCTTTAGCCCATACTCCTGCTGAAGACAAAAGATCATCTAGATCCTTCTGGGTTAAAACAACCTGTTAAACTTAGCACATGATGTATAAAAATGATATTAACTGCTTAGCAAAAATTAATTTTCCATTAAATTTCTTCATTATTATGGGCTAAACGGCCACATAAATATTTGTATAGTGTAAAATCTACATTCTAGTCTCTGTCTACTTTCTGATGTTGTTTATCAATTAGGTTTGCTCATTTTTGGTGTTGTGTTGATGTATTCTGTTCCTAGTAGTTCTTTTAAATGCAAGTCATGGAACCTGGCTAACTCCATTGCCTTTGCTATTGTAGCTGTGGGCATTTAGCAGTATGTCATGCCAGACTTGTGTTCCTGGTCTAGTATATTTAATGATAATATTCATGAGGCTGGAGAGATAGCTTAGTAGTTAAGAGCACTTGTTATTCTGGAAGGGCTCCCAGAAGCCATGTGGTAGTTCACAACCATTTATTATCCTAGTTTCAGAGGATCTGATGTCTTTTTCTGACCTGCATGGTTACCAGGCTCATAGTGGTGCACATACATTCATTCAGGCAAAAATGCTCATACACAGTAAATAAGCCTGGAACAAAACTATTTTAATGCTAACAGTTCTATGTACTCTACTGAAGTATGAAGAGGACTGGGTGCACAGTTTCTAAGTACCACCTGAAAGGTCCTATAGTGTTTTAGAATATTATAAAATGTAGAAGTTCGGTAAAGCACAGCACTTGTTTGCGGCTGCTCCCTGAGGGAGGAGGAGTGTGTCTACTGGGTTTGGAGCAATTTGTTTGTCCTTTGCTTCAAGGCCTTTCTCATGCCTGTCCTCTGATTTCTCTTCTCTTCTTGGGATCTAACTCTGTGTTTCTTTGTTCTGTTGTAGGGTTTATGTTTCTGTACTGTTATACACCGAAAGCCATTCTGTGCCCCCATTTGTCTCAGCAATCTTCACACCTGTTCTTATTTTTACTTTATTTAAAAAAAAAAAAAAAACGAATACAGATTTGGAAAATATTTACTGTTGGGAAATACTAGAATTTATTTCTTGATGTTGAAAATGGAGCAGTTATGTTTTAGAAATAGGTTTATTCTCTCAGGTACATTGGCTGTTCAAAGTTGTAGGCTCCTTACAGTATGAAAATGTCATGTTTAAATAGATTCACTAAGAATGAAGTTGATCCTGGGCACTTGATCGTTTTTCAGGATTGGTTTACAGATATCAGTGCAAATATGATATGAAATCCAACATTTTTCTGTTAAGCTCTGTATTATACATGATGACTCACAGACAAAATATTTTATTTAAACCTAAAATTAGTCAAATGATTGATTAAGCAATAATAATAAAGTTTATATAATAATGCCAGTAAATAGGCTTAGGAAAAGTTGTGTATCTGTAGGTTAAAAGGGTCA